CCCCCCCCCCCCCCACCCCTCTTTTCGTCTCTGTCTGATATCCTCTTATAAACCCAGTGGTACTACCACAAGACGAAGGGAACCCGATACCCGCATACGAAGAAAACAAGCCAGTCACAAACACACCAGTGTACTATGCCACGGTCCTCAGGACGAAACCATTACCCCACCTGCCCACCATCTCCATATAAGAGTAATAGAAATGTTGTTGTGATACACATATCTGTGGCGGGTGGCATTTCAGGTGCACCGTTCCGGGCCACAGGTACAGCAAACAAAGGACTCCTCAAACTCATGGGTTCCCGACTGAGAGGCAAAAGAAAACATGTAGCAGTAATTTGCACAGCGCCAGGTTCAGCTTCACACACTACCAGCCAGAGGACACAGAACAAGACCCAAAAAAAAGCTGCTTTCCCGGTGACTAAAATATTTGAAGTACACATGCCGCGTAGGAGTGGCTTCTGTACGTCCCCTTTGGTAGGACCATGCAGGCAAGGGCGTTAACGGTATTCTGTCATATTTTCAGTTCTAAGGCAACTATGGGCAACGATCTTGAGCTAACGCGGGTGTCGATGCCCTCATTGGTTCCAAGGATGTGCAGTCCGAAAGAGGAGAGGTGTTCGTGCGATGTTGGCCTGACCTATGCACTGTAAACTAGGTTTGGACCCGCCATAATAGCAATTCTGGCCAAGCCCTCGTCTCCCACGGAACCCAGTCTATAGACCCTGGCAAGGTGCCACGTCATGCTAACGCTTTACATAAGTCAGGAGATCTAAACTAGGGATCTTAAGGCATATGCTGACCTGAAGGATGAAAAGGGAGCGTGACGAGCAAGGAGAGACTCCGTCCAAGTCGCACCATACCGAAAGGCTTCTGACTGATGATGCACAGGACCAGGAGAGAAGGAGGGAGACGCGACGAAATATGTGACAGCTGGAGTAGGAGGAAAAGGATGCATGCAGAGTCATCTGAAGAACCAGCTGACGGAGACGAGTCCAGAGCCACAGAAGACAGAGGAGCAGCCTCCTTTTCCGATCCTCGCTTATCAGAAGCATCCAAGGTTGGAGGCTGAAGGATAGACGCGGAAAATGGACGGAGAAAATAGAGGGCTGAAGCATTTAGAGCTGACACAGAAGCTGGACACAAATGTGTCCACCTCCTTTCGTCCTACTCTTCCGCTCTCGCTGAATCGGGTCAGGAAGAGGAGTCAGGCAGGCTCAGAAAAGGATTGGAGAAGAGTGAGAGGTGGTAGATTACAAAGAGGTCTTGCGAGGCAAACAAAGACTGGAGATGGGGAGATTGAAGAATGAGGAGGGGTGGTTTACAGAGAGGCCAGCGGTGTCTGACAACCCACGGAAGGACCATTTTTCTTTTTCTTTTATAAACTAAGCTACATTCTTCTCTCAAATTCACCTTCCACTACCTACCTACCACCACTCCCAACAGGGCGAGGATTCGAGCGAGTTTGAAAGGTGGTCGTAGTCCAAATACGGAAGAAGAGGGGGGCGCGGAGGGAGGAGGGGGCTAAGTAAGCGAGACGGCAGACATTGGCTGAAGAGAGGCTTGCAGAGAATTTCAGTGATGTTGAAGCTCCGCATGTCAGGGAGTGGTGAGGATTCGAGGAACGAAGGGGGCGAGGACAAGGTCCGAAATAAGGTGTCAAGGGGGTTGGAAAGAAAGAATGGCACACAGTTGGACAAGTAGAGTAGGAGTTTGCGAAAGTGCGGGGGGTTCCGCAAGGAAGGGTGCATACATAGTTCTATCAGCAAGGGGGTTGGGAGGGAGGACAAGAGGACCCACATAAGGTGTGAAGGAGGGTGGAAATAAAGGATCGTGGACCGTAGAACAAGTAAAAAAGTAGAGTTCGGCAAAGTTAGGGAGATCGGCAAGAAGGGCAGTAAGTATACGAAGTTCCTCAATCGACACATGCTTGCACCCGTCAAGACCCAATTCATAAAATAGAACATACATGCCCCAATCTCTACCCGCTAACCTCCCGACAACAGCACGGAAGCATGGAATTGAACATTCTCTGCAGCTAGATTTCTACCGATCTTGTCCTTCGGAACATCCGATAAGACCGGAACGATACAGAGAAGCTTAGCATGGAAAAGAAAAAGAAAAAAAAAAAAAAAAAAAGATTTTCTACCGATCTCCAGGTTTACAGAATTACACACAAAGTTGGCTCACAGAGGTATCAGTGGTCAGCGGGATTCATGGGTAGGTAGACTTTTATCTCCACCTTGTTATTCCCTAGGTGTTTCACTTCTCTGCAGTGAATTCTTTCCGTCATGCGTGATAGTGCCTCTCCTACATCTGCACATAGAACCATGTCGTGAAAGTCAATGGATGTTCTGCACAAGGGCCTTGCACTGAAACATCCAGCCTATCAGATACGTTAAGGACAGAGCAGCAAAAGACAGCCAACCTTAGGAACAGACAATAAAATTACTACTAAATTTTTTAGTATTTTGTTTTTCAACGAAATTCAGTTTTTTTTTTTTTTTTTGGTAAAGCATGAAGACCAAAAATGATTTCAAAGCGGAAAACGTGACCAGGCAATATCTGGAAGGATGATGAACACTGTGCTTTCATCTGATATAAGGAACCGGACTGCCACCCTCTTTAATAGACGGACGATGTGCATGTGTGTCCTATGTGCAATAATATATATAAACAAAAGAAAAGAAGAATGGTAGATTTTTATGCCAACCAACCAGTGAAAATGTTCAAACTCCAAAAAGACTACTACTGTCTAATCATGAACATCTTGACACAGTAACCAGTGCTATTAGTTACATCAAATCAAACCTTCTGCTGAACAATAAGAATAGGCACTGAGTCAGTGTTGCACACGCCGACGGTCGGCGGCCCTTGACTAGTCGGCTGCCGACCCGCCGACCGGTAGGCTGGTAGGCACCTACCGGTCGCGGGTCGTCGGCACCCCGCAAAAAAAAAAAAAAAAATCTTTTTTTTTTTGGGGGGGGGGGGGGGGGGTTCCAGAACCCCTAAAAACACCCCCATAGCGGTCCCCAAACTGCCACCAACACCCTCATTACCCCTCCCCAATACCCCCTATACCCACCCTATACCCCCTCTATACCTCCTGGATACTCCCACCACAACCCCCCATACCCTCCCCCATCCCCAAAAGTTTCTCAGCGGATTTGGGCTATACTCAGCAAGCGCAGTAGAGCCCCCAACTCAGATTTGAAAAAAAATCAGAGGATGGTTGTTTTCTGACTGGTCGGTGGACCACCGACCGGTCGGGGCAAAACGGTCGGCAGTCGGGGTCGGCGCCGGTGCAACCCTGCACTGAGTAATTTTGCCTATGGCCAAAGGTTCTATCATAAGCCACCTTTCTGCTACACAGCTCCCTTCATGCAGAGGGAGGAAGGGAAGGAGCAGAGGAGAGAATACAGGAAAACCCTGAGCTCCAAACTCATCTCGAGATTTGACAAAGGACACCCCCCCCC